ACCCCAGCTTTGGCATTGGTCCCAGTCAAAATATCATGGAACACATCTCTCCCGATCAAAAACTGAATCCAAATGAACAGAGAGGTGCTTGCAATATCCATAGTGGATGGAGGTTGCACATAATCCGGAGTCAAAAAGGGAGGAAAAGGAAAGAAGGAAGGGATTGAATCCAAAGTATAAAGGAATGAAAAAATGTCCCTTCTGGACATATTTACAGGAGTTAGGGGATCAATGGCTAGCCCATAGCAGCTAGCAGAAGGACTGGAAAAAGATGGAGCACCAAGCGATGGAAAATAGGCTCTCAACCACATTTGAGTGAACCAAAGAGGCCCAATGCCCAAGGAGTCGCACCATTCTTCAATTGGGATTGAAGAGAAGTCATGCCTCTATAGAGGGCAGCTAAAAAGAAAGAACACAAATTTAGAGGCCTACCACGCGCCAATTTGTGCGCTACAGGTAAATAACTTATGGAGGGCTTTATGCTTGTCACACACAAAATGTATTTACAAAGCCAAATCAGAAGAAAGGCCACATGCTCAGCATGGGAAGGCTGAGCACTCGAGTGGTTATGACAGGTTTGCAGGCTTGAATAAGACTCGGTGAGTTTTCTATCAAATTTTGGGGCGACACCAGAAATCAAAATACCAGGGAAAATGGTATTACCCAAAGGTGGAAGATTTACTAGGGCCCCAATATCCCTTAAGGTAATGGACATGGGGCCAAGAGGGAAAACAAAAGTATTATACTCAGAAGACCAAAAACTTAAAGCGATTGGAAAAAGTGCTGAGTAAAAAATAGGGGGTTGAAGAGAGATTTCTAACAAATCAGGAATCCTAGTATTATCAAAAATTGCCTTAGTAGGACCATGGTCCACAAGGCGAGCATGCCATCTACGGAAAACGACATCAGATTTAAGTCAAGTGCGAATACCTCTTTCGCGAAGTGGGCTCAGCAGTAAAGAGTTTAAAAATGGAGGGCCTTGAGTACAAGGGAATAGCTGACCGACAGATGCTTGTTCGGTGGCCTCGACGTTGTTGAATGAAGGACCTAGATAGAACTTCTTGAGTTCGACATTGGCTGGTGCAAGGAAGTTCGGAGTTATATATGGCCGAGTGAGGAGTTTCTGGAAATCTTCGAAATTGAAGGAGTCACCAGACTGGGATTGTGAAGCAGCCATTAGGAACGAAATAGAGTTTGTCGAAGTTACGTAGCAGAGAAGCAAGAAGATGAACAGTAATATTGCGAGAGAGAAGCGCGAAACAATGAGGCGTGATTTAGTGGTGCAACGAAATGGCGTGTGTTTGGGGGTTATAAGGGTTTGCAAACGTCGCACCTTTTCAGGCTATGAAGAAAACAATTGTTAAAATTCTTGAGAATTTCGAATGTTGTTAGGAAACACAAAGTGAATATGACAAAAAATAATAATTGGTATTAATTCTGCCTTATTGAGGGGTAATTGTTGACACACAAAAAGTTCAGCCCAAATCAAATAGCCCTAGGAATGAAGCCCAATTGGAGAATCCCCAAATCAGATAGCCCAAAGAACGGCCCAATCAGGCAATTCAGGATAAAGGCCCAAATAGGGAAGCCCATGAACACGGTAATACCATCGTCCAAACTTGCAAGTCGCCCAAGATTTGAGCGAATAGATTGCCATATAGTCACCCAGAGTTGTGACCCTATTCTCGCCCAAACCTTTGAGTCGCCCAAAATCTTAGCTAATATAAGATGTTACGGTTACCCAAAAATGCAGTTAATGAAGCAGTTATTGAATAGCCCTATCACGTTCCACGATTCAAGGAATTCAATTGAAAACGGTTGAACGACAAAAAGTAATGGCAGCAGTTGGAGAAGGCAGTTCCACGACAAGTTGGCCACTACGAAGAAAGTGGGCAGTTATAGAGCGATCAAGCAGTTTTGAAGCGATTGATCACAAAGAGATCATTCAAGGAGTATAAAAGGAGGAAAAGACATAGAGCAAAGGACCCCGAATCAAACACTCTCAAATAGAGAATATGTAACTTTAAATTTCTTAGTTTAGATTTAAACACTCCTTTTCAGTAACTCGTGTGCTTGCGCCCCTTGGAGGCGTTCTATTTTTATTTTCCAATTGTAAAGTCATTGCCAATAAAAACACCCCTTTTTGGGACTTTGTCTCAAGAGGTTTGTCCATTACACAATCGTCTGATCCCTTTTTAATTATTAGTGACTAACCCGCGCAAAACAGATAGGAAATAATTTCCGTGGAATTCATCCTCTTGGTTTTATTAAAAAATGGAGCTTTCTTGGTTTTTAAGTAAGGTGGGGGAATTGGCTTTCTAGGTAGGTTGCCATTTTTTCCTTGGCAATGGAAACAAATTCTAAAAATTATTAAAAAAAATTTCCTTTGATTGGCAATTTTCATGTAAAATAAAGGCAAACGAACATAAAAAAAATAGATGATTTTCTTAAATAATTTTTTTTTTTTTTTTTGCAATGGAAACAAATTTCATCCTAAATACTAGTAAAATCTACCACTTTAATTGACAATTTTCATATAAAATAAAGTCAAACGAACGTCAAAAACACTTTTATTTCAACGTTTTTCACGTGAAAAAAATACTAATCAAACACGATAATTTACAATTCTCAGAAAAATAATTTTTAAACAATTCAATTCCCTGAAATTCGTTTTCTTTTCACCCAAATTTCATTTTTGCAATCAAATAGACCCTTAGATTTTTTATTAGATTGTGATAGAAGTTGTTGAAATGTGTCATTAAAAAATTGTGGAATCTATGAAAAATGTAGTTAATATTGATTGTTTGACTTTGACTTAGATTAAAATCAGATTTTAATTCAAATTAAACAAGCACATAGTTAATATTGATTGTTGAACTTTAACTTAATTTAAAATCAGAATCTAAACCAAACATACTCTTAATAGGTGGGGTTAACTCGAGTGGACCGGTCCAAGTTTCATTGTACGGGAAAATTTGAAGTATTTTTACGAGTTGGGTTAGATGAGCTATTGAGTCAAATAATTTAGATGTGTCTCCAGTTATGGTACATATGATTTGTTATTAGGTGAGAGAACCATGTGAATGAATGGAGATTAATTAATGAATCATGCTACAGAACTCGGGATAAAATTTCGGGTTCTGCTCTAGGGCCGAGGTGGCAATCACCTCGACCCTTGATCATTTTCATGTGGGGTCCCCACACACGCATCCAGGGGCCGAGATTTGGCCACCTCGGCCCTGGATCGGAGCCCGGGATTCTAGGCTCTACAGCTTTATTCTTAATTAATTGCATGATTCAATCACAATCACTAATAATTAATAGCCCTGGATCAAGAAAAATTTATTTATTTATTCAGCAAATGGTAAATTATTAATAATTGTCTAATTTATCAACTAATTAATGACTTATTAATTTATAAAAATATTCCTTAATTTCTTAAATATTGTGCAATGTATTTAGTTGCTCATTTTACTAACTATAATAAAAACTCTGTGTCTGTTTAATCAAGTAAAATTCATGATTGTATTTATTTTTTTCAAGAAACAGATTGTACAGTCATTTTATTCCATTTTATAAACTTTAGGCAAAAACTTTAAATAACAAAAAGTAATGTAACACAACACATCATATATACAATAATACGCGTGATCTATATAATTATACTATTTTATAAATTTCTCGAATTATTCATTTAGCAAGTTATTACCAAGTTATGATCGACAAAAAATATTATTTAACAAAGATCATAATTTATTGTTCAAAGGAAATTTTCTTATCTTCTTTCCCCCACAAAAAAATAAATAAATAAATAAATTCGGACAGTAATTTATTATAGTTAACATATATTATTTTTGCACTACTACTATCACTCTATTATGCTATCTGTTGCGTGTTGTCACACATGTCCTACCCACCTGGGCCAATGACCCACTCATCCTGATCCACGTGGCATTCCTGTTGAGGTGGCACACATTGTCGAGGTGGGTTATATTTGAAGTGCTTCAAGTCGAGATCCATCCGTCGAGGCTCCTCGATCTGATGTACGCGAGTCTGTCGAAGTCCAACTACCGAGGCCCAGACCCGAAGCATGGAACCTGTTGAATGTAGCTGAGGTCCACAAGTGGAAGTATTTGTCAAATGGTCGAAGCCCCGAAACTAATGCACGAGCCTCTTAACCACAAGGAGCTTCCTCCACAGTCACTTCTCCCAAGAGATCGCCTGCTCAGAGATCTTATTCGAATGACTGATGGAACATTTGTCACAAGCATAAAGGTCAAGTCTTGTCACTAGTATGGAGGACCTGCGCAAGCAATAAATGCGCCGTAAGCTAGCAAGTCAAGCCCCATACCTAAGAAAAGACGTTTGAACTAAAGAGATGAGATCACGTGCCACTTCATCCAAGAGCTCCCATTTCATATGTATCACTATAAATACTTCCATTGTGTAATGTCAAAGGCTAATGCAAGAATCAATACTAAAGACTACATTTACTCAACTCTCTCTCATTTACTTGCAATATACAAATCGAGTTTATACACTTTTACACATACATTTACGAGCACCGGTTGGTAATTATTGTACAATCAGATTACGAACAACCAGCCGGATTCCGAATGTCACCGTCCCGCGTCGTTGGGCTGCTCCCACGCCCCTTTGAACCGCTCGTTTTAGACCATCCACGTATTTTAGCGTGTTGGACATTCGCCCACGCAAGCGCGGGTGGGACCGACATCTGTTGGCGCACTTTTTGGGGTCAACACTATCTATTCCTCTCAATATCATATACTAATTATCATTATAATTTTGAAGTGTCAAAATTTTAGTGGACGCAAATCTTTAAGAAAAAACATATAAATATATGATACATCCCACAAAATTATTAGCACTTCAAAATTATAGCAATATGTCAATTTGAATGGTGAAAAGGAAACGGAAACAGCAAATCAGAACTCCAAACCTATGATATTTGTATAATAACAATCAGTTTGGGCTGGAACTTCTGAAATTCAAAAGCAATAAATCATTTACGACAACTTCAAATTGTTTTGAGGGATTATTTTCTCTATATCCATCAAATACAACAAATACAAAGCTGCTGCAATATTACAAGAACTACAAATCTTCTGATCAAAATGATGGTTTTTTTTTTTTTTTTGAGACTAAAAACAGCCCTAGCATTGCTGAATTGAAATGAAAAAACATTTAAAATATATATACACAATGTGACACCATCATAGAGAGCCTCTCAGTAAAATCCCTCCTGCCCCTTCTATGGCCGGACATCATTGTCTCTGATGTTTGCAGTCGGGACACAGTTGTTCAGCTTTTTGCATAGTGCAGTTTAATGGCCTCCACAGGATCTGAAACGCCAGTGTGAACAACCATTCCCTTTTTTGGCTGTTGGGTACCTGACATGACATTAGAACAACTTCTTGCTCGTTGCATCTCTAAATTTACTGTAAAAGGCCGCACTTCACCTTTCCTTGGAACCTCATAATCTGCTACTCTGTTGCAGCTACTTTGTCCAGGGATTGGAAAGCTCTTGACAACTTGATGTAACAATGGCTGCTTTAGTTTGTCCAATGGCATGATAACTGCAGCAGGATTCTGACGAAGCAAGAGAGTCGAATTGGGAAAAGGAGGGAAAGCATTCTGAAACTTATTAGCATCCCAAGAACGAAAATTTGTGATTGGAATATTCTCAGAGCTCAGGTAGTCAACACAGTCAAACTTCGCTTGAGTTGAATTTAAATTAATAGTCTGATTCCCACTGAATGATTGCTTACCTGATTTAGGATGATGCATTTTCTTATCATTGGGCGGTATAGAAGAATTTTGTTTACCCTGAGAAGATATTAAAATCTGACCAAACAATTTCACACCACCTTTCCTACAGTAATCCCTTGTCTGCTCTTGCGATGGAGTTGGAGCCTCGGAAGAAGTCTGAAATCTCAAACTATTGCACTTCTGAAGAGAGAATCCAGAACTCCGATCTAATGGAAAATTTCCATCTACCTTTGCGTCACTTTGAAGTGAAACTTCTCTTTCGCAACTAATACCCACATGTTTCTCCTTCACAGTTGACATTGAAACCTTCAAGTCCCCAAGAATTTGGGAAGACTCGACACGATCTGAAAATGAGCGACAGGAAAGATGATGTTGACAATTACCCGTCCGAGCAATTTTCTGACACTGCACATCACTGGTCGCAATAGCTCGAGCAGCTGATGAAGCATTATGATTAGAAGTTTTCTTTTGGCATCCCAATGATATATCTAATTGCGTAGAAGAATGTGCATCACCACATGGATGAGAAGAAACACCTGGCCTACGATGCCCATCAGAAAAATCAATTGAAGCAGCATTCTGTGTCTCGCCCAATCTATTAGACTGGACATGGTTCTCAGCCTCTTCAATTACTCGTAAAGATTCTGTATCACAGGAGACATCCAAAGTTCCACAATTAGCGCGTTGCTCATTTGCATCTGTATCAAAGTCTAAACCGGCCATATCCTTCTCCTGACAAAGATCTGTCCCAGATTTCTCAGCATCCATAAAATCATCAAAACCCGTTCCATTATTTTCCTCACATTCGTTAAGATGGGGCTTCAAAGTCGGTATTCCTACTATATCAGATTCACAGCTCGTATTTAAATCGGGAGACAGAAGGTTCTCTCCCATCTCACATCCTGATCTCTCGCAGCAAATAATAGTCTCTGACTCCACAACACAAGCATCTTCGGAGTCGTCACTTCCACCTCCCATAGCATCACCAGACACCGCATTGCTAGGTCTGGGCTGTATCATATCCAATCCAAGACACTTATGGGTCTTGCTAAAGAAGACCTTGCACTCATTTATGGATCTGGTTCTGACGCACTGTGAGATCATTTCAAAATCCTTGCCATAAGATGAAACGGCCTGTATGAAAATGGATTTCTCCTCATCAGTCCAATCAGTGGTGTCCATCTCCTCACAGCTCTCATCTAAGCATGAATCGTAAAGTTCCTCGCAGATCTCTGCAGGATCAACAGAACTCGTAATGCAAGAATTCATAGCTTTGTGTGACAAGGAAGAACATACACCGGCTAACACATCAACAGCCAGAGTTTCTCGATCATTAACTTTAATATCGAGATTGTTTGATCTTTGTAATGAACCAATATCACCTCTTGATTCTCCGTAAGCACTCAACCCATGAGAGAATCTCGAGGTGCATTTTTGCTGAATTTCTATACCACTATCAGCAGAAACAGCAACTGCTGATGCTGAACCCAGTACGTCAAGGGAAGCTGCATTTGCCTCACGATTCCATCTTTTCCCTGATGCAACCAGGTAAGTACCACCAGATCGGGTCTTCCTTTGGTTTGGAAATCCCATCTTCGACTTCTCAAAGTATTCCGACCTGTGATTCTTGTAGTAAAACTCAATGCAATCTGCAGTTGTTTTGTGATCAAGAAAATACGCTATCTTACTGAAGTCTTTCCCAAAGGTAGCAAGTTTGTCGACGAAAATTTCTCTCTCTTCAGATGTCCAGATGTTGATCATAGACCTCTCTTTTTCAACAGTAAGAGGATCTTCCACCAAACCATTACTCGAGATAAACCTCGATATAAACTTCTCCTTCTTGTCCAAAATTAAAACTGGCATCTTCAGTGTATTCCTGTAGAGTCTGAGCTTGAAATTCGAAAGCAACCTACTCACAAAATCAATTCCTTCTTCTGTGGGCACCAGGCTAAGATTCCCTTTAGCAAAGACTGAGACCATGGATATATATAATGTCAGGATAGATTTACAGGCACATAATCAATTCTCTAACCCATTGAATATTTAAGTTTAAAGGCAAGTGTACAAAAAATAAATTAAGTGCAAATTACGGAGAAAAATATAAATGGATTTTATCAAGCAATGTTGTTCCAGTGATACTGCAACAAACAACTCCTAAATAAATAGGGGCTATCATTTCACTTTTTCTGTGAAAGAAGACAAATCTACAGTTGAGAAAACAAAGCTTCCGATCAACAATCCCAAATCAGCGTTTTGAAAAGTCTCATGCAAGCATGAGTTGTGAACTAGACAGAACCCAATGTATTTACAACTCAGAAGCTCTTTTCCAACTGTAAGTGTATTTCATTAGCTTCCAATTCATACTAGCAATTGCATAAATGAAAAAGAGAAGCCAATCCTAATCCTACCAAGTAATCATATCCCATTAAAATCAAAGAGGCATATAAAGCCAAAACTTCTTACCGGCAGAAGAAAATCTAGAGGGACAGGAATGATGCTTTCGATAGGCAAAATAATCAGTCCAATTTCGATCTTTCTTGTGTGACTTCAGAGGAACTCTCCTTACAGAAAGTAGCTGATTTTCCTTCCAGAAGTGATGAAAAACCTTAAACTTGAGGGTCGTGACTTTCTCGTTAAATTGTACGAATCGTTTCCTCGTTAGAAATTTCTTCTTCATTATCATGGAATCACTTGGCAAATATGAGACACCAGCAGCAGTTGAAATATCAAAATGACACTGGTTGGCAGGCAATAACTTATTTAACACTTCTGAAGCTCTATCTGCAGAATCTTTGTTGGTTGCCAGTATTAAATCATATACATCCTCACTACCACAACATGAATTGCTACAACTAGCAAGAGTAGGATAATTACTACTCAAGATCGGTTCAGAATCATCCACACGACCTTTTGTTTCCTCATCATTAAGACTATTTTCTAAACAATTCACTTCCAGGTTTTTAGAATTATTTACATCAGAATTTAGGTATCCTTCAATGTGATTGGCTCGTTCAGAAGGGCAGAAGTCCTCTGCACTTGCAACAAACTTTGATATCGCACTCTCTGAATTATCAATATCCTCCTCTTTCACCACAGTGTTCTCATTGTCCAATACCTCGGTTATATTCTCCAAAATCTTGTCACCTGGCAGCAAACATGATGCAGCTGGATAAGGAAAGCTACTTCCAACCTCAGATATCGATGTTTTCATCTCAGTATCAATCGAATTTATATTGGACTCAGTCATCTCGAGTGCTTTTAATACGTCGACTTTCCATAACAACAACTTGTTCATCGCAGTAGTTCGCACAAAACCAGAATCCACAGAATGTGGATAATCAGGTCTTAACAATTCACTGATCGAAGAGCTCAAATTAGCAATAGACGTGAGCTCCAAGTTCTCTAAACTGAAAGTTGGCCCCACACACTGCATCTGGGACAGACTACTTGGTGAATAACTAAAATTAGTCTTATCATGATCAAAACTTACTGCCTTGATGGATTGTTTCTCCTGAACACCTGTCTTATTAAAGAGAGAGTGAGAAAACTTCAAATGAGATATAATTGCGAAAATAAAATAATGCATTGATCCACTGATCTCAAGTCTGAAAAATACCAACAAAGGAACTTGCTTATCAAGGATGAAAGGATTTGACATTAAGATCTACAAAGCGTGAAAGGAAACTCTTCGTATACCAAATAAAGAAAAGCACATCATCCTTACGGTATGCAGATGAAGCAACAAATGCAGAAAAATCAATACTACCTATATAAAAAGCAGAGCAACAGTTAATTATGCTCCAAATTAACAGAGAAATTTCGATAAATATTATAATCAGTATAGAGTTCTATTAGGATTTCATCAAGTATCCGACTTTTGGCCACCACATGTAAAACATAAACAGATGTGAACATGTCATTTCAATTAAGAAGATTACCACTGAACTTCAGCTAGGACACATTAACATCACATATTCAGCACTATAATTCTATACGACAAAAAGATGCAGAACACTAATCATGTGTTATATTGACCTTTTGTATAGTCTAGAACCAAATCAAGTGGGTGCTCAGATAAAGTAGCATTAATCAGTATAAACATAATAAATAAAAGGCAACATTTCACGAGCTAGGACAAACCAATAAGCAGAATTAAGAATTAACAAATTGATTATCCACGTATGAGAATCTCTGACATTCCATCAATCCAGCATCTGAAGAGAAGTCAAATATGGCCAATTATGAAGAAATAATAAAACATTTGCTGCTTATTATTTATTAGCCATATAAATAATGTCGAATAACTCCTAAATGTTAAGAGAAAGCTAACTATTAACAGCAAGTAAAGATTTCACATGGAACCTAAACCGGTTGGAAACCCCTAATACTAAGCAGTTAAAGTAATAATGATTTACATCTACAGTCCATACTTAGGGCTCGTTTGGCATGAACTTTGAAAAGTCAAAAGCAGCTTTTGGACCCATTTGACTATTTTTATGAAAGTGCTTCTTCTAGTTAGAAGAGAAAAAGCAACCCTCAGCCTCACACCCTCGCTCAAAGCTCCTTTATAGTACAGCAAGGGCTTGTGCCTCTGGCTTTTCACATTTTTTGGTGTTGACCTTTGGAAAGCAGGATAGCCATTCCCTGATTCAACAAAAGCTTCTTTCCTCTCAGCAGAAGCGGTCTTAACTTTTTGTGTTCATGAGACTTCCTCTAAAAGCACTTCCGGAATAGGAAGCTCTTTTAAATCTTAGTTTCCAAATAAAAACAAGGTAATTTCCTGCAAAAGCTCTTCTATAGAAAGCAAAAGTCATGCCAAACGGGCCCTCGGTAAGTTTCACTTTGCCTACAAGTTAGAAAAGTTATTACCATGAGACATGCGCTGGGAACCAACATGGTAGATCAGTTGGCTGAATTATCATACCCACAGTTCCATTTAGATTATAGGAGTCAAGAAGATTCGAACACGTAAGTGCAATAAAATTTTACGCTGGCTATCAACCTGCACAAGAGGTAGACCAAAACTAAACTAGTCTCATGTAATTGCCTAAATTTTAATTTAACAAATTTCAGTAGATATAGTGACGAATCAAATGCAAACGCGAAAAAGGAATCATACAGGCTAGTAGGCTACAGCTCACCCATGTAGTCAGAAATGAGACTTAAATTGTTGTTCTTGGGGTGAACGCGAGTTTGGAGAATGGTTGTGGTTATATATTCTTACTATGAACACTGCAAACTCTCTAAAATCTCATCCACTAGAGAATCCTTAAATACTATCTCCAAAGGATGACTGAGGAGTGAGGGGGTAGGGTAAAAGGAGGAGATCATTCTTAAAAACTATCTCCACAAGTAGCGAAAAAAATAACATAATCAACTTGATACACACACGGAAAGTTAGTTACAGCTGTTAAGCATTCATTTGGTTCACAAGTTTGTCAAACTTAACCTATTCCGTAATCCTAAAATAGGTATATTTACATCCAGATTGCTTCTGTGTATACTTTCTTTTTCAATTTACTGCCTTCTTTACTTCCTATACACTTTCCCTTTGTATTCTTCCTCTTTTAGATGTTTTAACAATAATGGAAGGGTAGATAAATACCAACAGATATCACAGATGGAAAAGGTAAGGTGCTTAACAAGGAATCCAACAACTTACCAGGCGACGAACTACAAGCAACCGAAGATGGAGTAGCCAGTGAGGCACAATCCAATAAAGCTGCAGCTTTAGGACTCTCATCAGCAAGGTTCACGGCATCAGACTGCATAACTTCTGTATCACTATCACTAATGACCAATCCATTTCTGGTTGCACCATCTTCAGGGTCTTCAACTTTCTTCTTCTCAAACTTTTTCAGTCCCTCACCCCATTGAAGGCGGGGCTTCTTCCTGGAACTATTATCTTCAGAAGAAGTCTTAGAAGCAGAAATCGGACAAGCAACAGCACCCCCAGAAGGAGACTGAACTGGCATCGCAATCTTTGGCCGCACCTGCGGCACAGTATCATTGGAGTCTGTTCCCACACTCTTGAAGGTACTCCAAAGGCTAAAACCAGATCCCCTTGAAGATAAGCTTCCTAACCGGGTCCGTTTCAAAGATTTGCAATCTATAGACTCCAGTGGGTTCTCTTTCTCTAATTTATGACCTTTGTAGGCTCTCTCAGTATTGGCACCATTCTTATCATGCTTCACTTTCAAGAGAAACTGAGATTGACCCAACAAGGTTATGCTGTCAGGAAGAGGATGGAAGGAGGATTTGTTGCTTCCGTTGCTGTTATTGCTGCCATAATTGTAAGATTTCCCATTCTCTACAGAACTCTGTTCGTTTAGATCACTGATGGGTCTCCTTGGACCACATGGCGAGGAAGTAGGCTCCCAAGAGTGATCTTTCAAGACTTTGTGGCTAAAGGAACCCCTAATTTCCCTGTTATGTCTGAAATATCTTCCATCAATGCAAGAATTAGGAGGCCGATAATTCATGTCATAAAAAATCCTGTCACTGAACTGTGACCCAAAAGGTGGAAAGACATGACTGGACTCCTCTTGGTACATGTTTCGACCACCCTGCTTTCCGAGACCTTCAGCAAATACAATCCAACCGCCATAAAAAGTGGCCAGAGAAAACGCAAATCAATAGTCAAAGACAAACTTCACAATCACGCAGTAAAAGTTCAATTTTTGCATGAATTATATTATTTCACCAATTTCAAATCGGACAAAGAAAATCAAAGGAACCACAGATCTAACAAGCATACAATCGACAAGCCATCCTTTAAGTAAGTTTCTTTCATTTAACACACAACATCTGCCTTCAGACATATCTGTCAAACCCATCAGTAGTTCGTATAATAGAATTGAGCTTATATATCTGGTCTCCATGGCGGACTTTAAGATATTAAATGTGGATTATTTCCCTGAAAAATCTTTCTATCCAAAAATATTAAGAGCTCAAAGAACTCTCTCTTCCTCCAATTACATTTAAAGCCCAAAATTTCACTTCTAGTCAAAAACATTTAGAACTTCTCCATAGATTATTAACTTGGTTCATCGATTCCATTTCATAAAAAGGAAAATTAAATTAATTACTCACCAGGAGGGGGAGGGGGAGGGCGGGAGCGGAAACCTGAGTAAGAGCCGTGCTGATGGTGGTGGTAAGGATGAGACGGCGGCGGCAGCGGTTGAGGGTGGTGCTGGTCCCGCCATCTAGTAGGGCCACGTCCACCGCCACTGAATCCTCCCCAAAAGGCGGGATTCGACCCGGGTCTATCGTACCTCCGAAAGCTTCTCCGGTCCCATTGAAATACCTCCGGCGGCATCAGTTATCACTACTACTCTACTGCTACTAAATTTTGACACCTTTCTTTGGGTGTATGGGGCAAGGAAATCCCGGTGATATAGGGTTTTGAGAGGAGGGAGAGAAGTGGACCTTCATTTCAATGGTGTTTCTTACTGTGATTTCTTTTATAACCGAAGGAAAATGTTATCATTTAAGCATGTTTGCTTCGGCTAAGGTTAGAAACTTGCGAGCTCACTCTATTTAGACACCCTATGTTGTAAATTGGTACCTCAATTATCGCCACTTGATTGTCATTATCTATGCATTATGAGCCTAGATAAATAGCATTATTCGTTCAAAAACTCTTAAAAATGGTACTTTTAAGTTTTTAACTTTAGTCGAGTACCAGAACACGTAACCTTTTAGTCGACAAAGATAATAATAAATTATTTAACCCTTGTTTGAGCCCTATGTTGGGGAAGAAAGTGTATTTGGGAATAGTATATTTCTAGAGAACGCGAGATTTAAAAAATAAGAAAAAATTTCGATTTGCGTGTACAATTATTTTGAGTTTGTTTGGTGGGAAATTTGATAATTGATTTTTTTATCGTTAGAGATAAAGTGGGTCCTAATTGTGAGAGAAGAATTCAAAAATGAAGTCTGGAATAATAAAATAACGGTCGAAAATTTAATTTTAATTGACTTTCAATCCGTAACAACAAGCAGTTTATTGAAAAATATATGGTTGAAAATAAGTCTTAAAAAAAATTGATAAAATAGGCTCAAACAAGAGTTTAATTTGATGTTAAGATACGGTTTTTTTTACAAACAAGTAAATTTATTAACTAAAGTAGAAATATGTAATTTATATAAAAGATATTACCAAACGAAAAAAATAATAATAATAATAATAAAAAACTTTAAAATATTTTTTTAAAAATGTTTAGTCAAACATGCTTAACTTTGCTTAAGTTTTGGTACACTTATAATTTACATGGGTGACACGTATGCACTACTTAGGAAGCGAATGCCAAGTGGCTAATATCAACTTGCCACATGCAAATCGTACTTCGTCAACAACGACGAGATGGTATAATTCTTCAACTTCACATTTATAACTGCATCATTATTCAACTCGTTTATTTTTCACACGCTTTGTCTAACAAGTAACGATAGTATGATTCACCTGTTTTACATATATGTAACACTCCAAATTTTAAATTTTTCCATGTGGGTTGGTAATTTAACAAATAAAATAATCCGTGTCCAACACTGTCGTCACACTAAAGTCGAAAAGTTGAAGTGATAAACACGTCCCACTTATTTGCATAAATGGTTTATTCCGCAAGCGTATATTTTTAATTTATCGTAACTTATTTGGATCGAATATTTAAGTATTTTAAAAGTTATTAAAAATATATCGATATTATACTCATTTTATAGCTCTTGTCAAATAGTATAATTTGGAATTAAGAAAAAGTAATATTCAGCTAGTATGTCCGAGTTATTCTAATAAAAAAAAAAGTGTTAGTATTTAATATTTTATTAATATAGATAATAATAAAATAATAAAAACAAAACTTTCATTTCCAATTTAATTCATACGGTTACTTGGGGAAATGAAACGAAAATTGAAAATTAATAATTTAAAATTTATTAAGCTCATTAGTGATAGAGTAATTAACCCACATGAAACCTAATTAATATCAAATTACGTTAGAATCTCTATAGTCACATGTTCTGCGTATAAAAGTG